ACAAATTCTTAATTGGTTTTTGCCTTTTGTGGTTTAATTAATTTATAAATTCAGTCATTACATTACTAAGTTAATTGGAAATCTTAAACTTTATTATTTATATAATATGTGTGTGTGTGTGTGTGTGTGTCTGTGTATACACATCATTTGACAGATGCCAAGTACCCATCATTCAACAGAAAAAAATGACAAAATCTGCCTTACTGTAGACTGCTGTTATACTAACATTTTAATCTTCTGAAAAGAAATTAGCTCTATGGTCAGGATATAGTGTAAGAAAGTATTAACCAGTGGAATCAGGGGCTGGTTAATTTGTCCTAAAATTAGAAATATATCTCCATATATATGAGGATTATTTATTCCAGAATAGCCATTTGAAGAAAAATAGAAATATACAAATAATTATATGTCAAAAAGTGAGACTACTACCGATTTCCCAGATTTCTGGGAGAGTCTCTTATGTAGTTGTGCGTCCTCACTCTGAGTGAGAGATGACATGTCCTCAGGGCTGAGAGCACAGACTGTCCCAGTACTGACTGGGATCCTGGCGCTGCCACTTACTGGCTGTGTGGCTCCGAGAAAGTTGCTTAGCCTGTGGTACCTCAGTTTGCTCCTGAATGAAGTGAGGACTGGACAGCATAGAAATAGAATCAATACTATTGTAATAACTATAAATGGTGCCAGGTGGGTACTGGAAATGTCGGGGGGACCACTCTGTAAAGTAGATGATTGTCTAACCACTATACTGTACACCTGAAACTAGTACAAAATTATATCGTAAAGTACAATTGAAAAATAAAATTTAAAAAGTCAATGTTTAAAAAACACTGTAATTTATACGACAACTATTTAGTCTTAGAAAATTTTTAGGTATCAATCTAACAATGAGTGTGGAAGGCAGAGGGATGCACATATTCCTAAAACTGTTGTGGAGGCACTTGAGCAAAAGTTTTTGGCAACAACCACTGTGAGACATGGAGGCTCAAGGGGCAGAGCCAAGCCTCACCTCCCCCACCCCCCGGCTGCACTGCGCAGTCCAGTGGTCACGGGCCACACACAGCTCTTAAGACCCTGAGATATGGTTAATTAGTCTGAGTAAGATGTAAGTCCTATAAGTGTAAAATAAACACCGAGTTTCAAACATTAATACTAAAACGAATTTAAAATAGTTCATCAGTAATTTTTGTATTGGTTACATGTACAAATAATATTTTTTATATACTGAGTTAAATAAAATATGTAATTAAAATTTAAAAAGTAGCTCTGGTCAGCTTTGCTCAGTGGTTAGAGCATCGGCCCATGGACCAGAGAGTCCCGGGTTTGGTTCCTGCTGAGGGCATGTACCTCAGTTGCAGTTTGTCCCCGGCCCCGGTTGGGGTCGTGTGGGTGGCAATCAGTCAATGTGTCTCTCTCACATCGATGTTTCTCTCTCTCTCTTCCTCCCTCTCTCCCTGTTGCTCTATCTGAAAATAAATGCAAAAATGTCCTTGGGTAAGGATAAAAAATAAATAAAAAATAAAAAATTTAAAGTAAAATGAGAATAATAGCACCTTTTAGGTTATTTTGAGAATAAATGAGCTAATCTCGATAAATCATAACAATATTTGACACACAGTCATTTAAAAATATATCTCCAATTCCAAAAACAGAGCAAACAGAGAAATGCCATCCCTGTTACATTCCTGCCCATGACAGAAAAGACACAGTGGGATGGACTCCAGGAACAAAACAGACTGCCCAGCGTGGTGGACAGAGATGTCTGTGAAGTTTGCAGTTAGAAAATGCTTTTTTCTTCCTCAACAGAGATGTAGACAATGCTATCTCAAAATTAATTGTTGTCCTTGAGGGTGTGTGTGTGTGTGTGTGTGTGTGTGTATAATCCAACGATTGCCTACTGGGTGAGGCCAAAGGATGCGGATACAACGTACATCTCACACCGGTGGGGAGATTTTGAAAAAGTTCCGAGTTGGAATGCCAAACCACGAAACAGGTTCTCGTGCTGCCAATTGTGTGCCAAAGCCCACCCTGACCCGTTGTGCTGAAGTCTTCCTAGGGTCTTATGAGGCAGAATAACTGAGATTTGGGGGAATGATGTCTGCAAGACGTCAGGTTGATGTCTCCGTGGTGGGTAGGAGACAAGCTTCCTGAAAAGGCTTGGATGTCTTACACAGACTATTGCTTAAGTGATGGGCACAAACTAACCGATCCAGCTGTGTATCTTCCTGTAGTGTCTTCTATGCACACATTGGTACTAGAATGCTTTTCATCCAAACATATTTCATCTTTCTATGTTGTTTTCCTCATTAGGAACACTCATTAATGTATGTAAATGAAACAAGAGACCAATTCTCTCCAGTTTGAGACTACACAGGAAGCTTAACACTTGTATTAGTCTCTTCCAATTAGGCAATAAAAGAAATTTCTGTGGTAGCCATTCCCGCTTATAGTCATTATACACATTCCTCCTTCCTTCCTTGCCAGTTCCTAGTCTACATCAAAGCACTCACAACTGCGTATAACCTTCTGAGAACTTTTAGAATATTCTTTCATTAAATTATACTTTGTACTATTGACTTTTTATTCCCATCCTCCTATCCCACCCCACCTTTGGCAACTATCAGTTTGTTCTCTATATCTATAGGTCTGTTTCATTTTGCTTATTCATTAATTTTGGGATTTTTTAGATTGTATAAATAAGTGAGAACATATGTTATTTGCATTTCTCTGACTTATTTCACTTGGATGGACTAAGAGGTATGCTATGTTGTCACAAATGACAAGATTTCATTATTTTTTCTGAGTAATATTTCACTGTATATATGTACCACATGTCCTTTATCCACTTGTCTATCAATGGACACTTAAGTTGCTTCCACATTACTATTGCTAGTAATGCTGCAATAAACATAGGAGTGTATATATATTTTTGACTTAGTGGTTTTGTTTTCTTCAGATAAATACCCAAAAGTGTGCTTCCTGGATTGTATGGCAGCTCTATTTAAAATACGAGTTATCTTCATACTGTTTTCCATAATGGCTACACTAATTTACAACCTCACCAATAGTCATAAGAATGGTCCCTTTTTTCCACATTCCCACCAGCCATTGTTTGTTGACTTATTGATGAAAGCCATTCTGACAGGTATGAGGGGATATCTCATTGTGGTTTTAATTTATATTTCTCTGATGATTAGTGATGCAGAGCATCTTTTCATGTTATCTGTTGGCCATGTGTATGTCCTCTTGGGAGAAGTCTAGGTAGGTCCTCTGCCTATTTTATAATTGGAGTGCTTTTTTTTTTTTTGGTGTTAAGTTATCTCAGTTCTTCATATATTTTGCATATTAACTTTTATCGGATGTATCATTTGAAAATACCTTCTCCGATTCCATAGGTTATCTTTTTGTTTTGTTGATGGTTTCCTTTGCTGTGCAAAATCTTTTTAGTTTGATGTAGTCTCATTTATTTTGTTTCCCTTGTTCAAGGAAATACATCCAAACAGATATTGCTAAGTTCAATGTCAAAGTTTACTGCCTATGATTCTTCTAGGAGTTTATGATTTCCTAACATTTAAGTTTTTAATCCATTTTGAGTTTATTTTTGTGTATGGTATAAGGAAGTGGTCCAGTTTTATTTATTTTCATATCTGTCTAGTTTTGTCAACACCACTATTGAAGAGACTGACTTTGGCCCACTATGTATCCTTGCCTCGTTTGGCATAGATCAACTGACCATACAAGCAAGGATGTATCTCTGGGCTATATTCTATTCCACTGATCTAACTACATTTCAAAGTGACCATGCCATTTTTCTCCTGAAAAATTAAAATGAACTACCAAATACACGTTTAGTTAACTGAGATACGATTTTCAGTCAATTTTACTGTCAATACACGAGGAGTTCATGGATCCTTCCTACATAGAAAAACCTTTCCTAAAGAAGTATTCTGGTATTCATGAACTTAGTAGAATTTAAAGGGGTCTATGAAAATTTTATAAATCTGGAAAATTGATTTTAAAAAATTCTAGGATAAAGGTTGCTTCCCTCAGAGCCTTTAATGTGTCTTATGTATATCTAATGGGGATGTAGTGCCCTGGCCGGATTGGTTCAGCAATAGAGCGTCGGCCTGCAGACCAATGAATCATGGGTTCGATTCCAGTCAAAGGCATGTGCCTCAGTTGTGGTTTGTCCCTGGTTGGGGTCATGCAGGAGGCAACCAGTCGATGTGTCTCTCCTACACTGATGTTTCTCTCTTTCTCTCCCTCCCACTCTATCTGAAGATAAATAGAAAAATATCCTTGGGTGAGGATTAAAAAAATAAAGGGGATGTAGTAAAAATTCAATTTTATACTTGTCCTTCTATGGAACTACTGTTCCAATCCAGCCCCTGAAGGTACCAGTGCACCTCATGACATACTCTGGGCAGAGTTGCTTCAGGTAATTTCCAGATTAAAGGGTTAGTGTTCCATCTCAACTGTTTAACTCCTCTTTCAAATGGCTGTCAACAACTATATATTTAAGTTAATTGTGTCAGTTCTAATTTCATGTTGTTTAGAAGCAGGATTTTATTAAAGTGACATGGGATCCAAAATAACATTTTTGTAATGAGATAACATTTTATTTTTCACCATGTATATACAAACACAAATTAATAAAACACACCACACAACAGTAAAATGTCAGTTAATATGTATAGGTGCATAGTTTCATGCTCACATGTTTTTAAGTATTGTATATATTAACAAATTTCACAATACACCATTATTCTTAGGCAGAATCATTAAAAGACTCCTAGAAATCTTATGAGAGTAAGTCACAACTTCTCGACAAGAGCAACAAAAACACAGTAGTGAAAATTTAGGAATTAAGTGGCAGTCACTTAGGTGTTTTTAATTTGTTTTAGCATTTTGTACTTGAAGCTACAATATCCACACAGCACACAAGGACCTGCTACCATTATTCACTTCAGTGAGGGGGAAGCACCGAAATGCTGAGTGGGTGGGGCAGGTACACGTGCTTCCATCACTGCCGATGGAAGACTTCAGAATACGCTGTACATACTTGGGGAAAGTCACTGGGTTGTGGAACTGAGCACTTGTGCAGGATGGGACATCTGTCAGCAGATCTCCAGAAACCGGGAGCAGAGATAGTTCTTAGGCTTCAGGTTCATAGTCTTGATACCCTTCCTAATATTAGGAAAATCAGAAAGACAGAGTTAGTGTAAGTGATCCATAATCGAGGATTTAGGCAAATGAGAGAGGATGTGGCCACTTGGAATCAAGGTCATACTCAGAACAGTTCTGCTCCACACAGTGGAACTGTTGACAGTTCTGTCTTCCTGTGTAGTCTAGAAGTGAGTCATGCTGGTGGGCAGGGTATCTGAAATCTACTTGTACATGTGCCACGGGATGATCACGTGACCTCGTCCTGTAGGACAAATGGGTTGGCTTGTCTGGCTGTCAGTTTGCTAAACTGTAAAAATATGAGCGTCAAATCAGGTGGCCTATAGTGCTTCTTTCACGGTGTAAATGCTCTAATTCTTAGAAGGAAACTAAGACATTGAAAGCCAAGTTATGTTTTCTCTCCTTTTACACTCCCACCTGAAATTTCATCTTCATCCATGGCTTCATTCATTACTTCTATTCCAAAGAACACTCCCCAGCCATACAGTATACAGATAACATCCTTGATAAAAATATGAATGGTCTTAATTCAAGTCGTCAGATTAGTCCTTCTAAAGAATGATTCTAATAACATCAGGATTCTGCTCAAAATCAAACATACCTTCAATAACTCACACTGCTTTCTGAATGAAGCACAAATTTGAATGAAAATGTCATTTCACTACACCCTACAATTTGTTTTTGACCTATTGTTATAGCTGAAATCAGTCACTATTCTCTCTGCTCCTTAAGCTTGACTCATATTTAATTACTCACGGTCCCTCAGACATGCACGCCTTCACTTTTGATATCCCTTGTGCTAGAATGTCCTCTCTCCATTTGGCCTATCATAGCTCCCCCCCAGATCAATATCACCTTCTCCACAGAACTCCCAATTGATCTAAACACAGACTCTTTAAACTGTTAGACTTTTTTGTTTAACTTGTATGTTTTTGCTTCTGTGATATCTGGTAGAGAGAAGACAGTCAATAATGTCTGTTAAAAGAATCATGACAAATAAATGAAGGAATGTGTTTGTTTTTAGTAAACCTGCTGGGGTGTATACTCCTGTGTCCTGGTACTATCAATGACTCTTATTTGTATTTTATTTTCTATAGTGTTTAGCATTGTGCCATTCATTAAAAGACTACAAAATATTGGTGAAATCTAATTAGGTAAAGAAGCAATTGATTCTCAATTTCTGTAAATGATATTAGTATCAATATGTCTTTCTATGATGCCATGGAAGAATAATGTGTAACCTAACCACAACACACTTTCCCAACATGTTTAGTGAAGCAATGATACATGTTTTGGGGGGGGGGATAAAAATGCTTTACTTTGTAAATCTCGCACTGGGCCCCAGAGTAACATCATCCTCATAGAATTAGCTGGGGCGGGCTCCCTCTTCTATTTTTTAGAAGAGGGTTTGATTGTAATTAATTGATGTTACTGTAATTATTCTTTAAATGCTTAGCAAAATTTGCCAGTGAAGTCATCTGGTCCTGGGATTTTCTTTGTGGTGGGTTTTAAATAATAATTCAGTATCTTTACTTTGTTATACATCTTTTCTGTTTTCTTTTGAGTCAGCTTCAGGCATCTGAAAGTATTTTCTAATTTCCTTAGTGATATACTTTCTATTAAAGAAACTTTAATCAAATTATGTGTGGTTTAAAATACTATACTGAATTATGTCAGTTGTTGCAAATCACTCATTTATTGTTTTTTTTTTTTTTTACTGTATTCTTTTCTGGTTAACTGTTCTACTATGCAAACTTCCCACTGGAAATGTATGACAGATAATAATTACTTTCTTTTGGCATTTAGTTTATTTCTCTAACTTTCCATTTTGAAATTTATTTTAGAATGCAAGTTGGCAAACTGTTTCTGTCAAGGGCCAGTTAGTGGATATTTTAGGGTGTGGGCCACATATGGTTTCCGTGGCTGCTGCTGCTTTTATTTTTAACAACCTTCACAAATGTAAAAACCACTTTTAGCTTGCAAGTCGCCCACATAAAACATATCCTGGGTTTGGCCAACTTGTTCATGAAGTAAGTCATTCTCACCAAGGACAAACGTAAGGGAAATCTGAGAGGGACAGATTTTGGTTTTGCTTATTGTAAAGACCTAAATGTTACTTTTGGAGCTTTATGTATATAAACTTTTACCTCGGAAGGCATTTCATAAGTCTCGTTGTCAGGATCCCCGGGCATGTCTTCCAGAATTCCTTCCTGTGGCGCTCCTTCCTCGCCCTGACATTTAAATGCAAGCACAAAAAACAATGACATGAGGTACCATTTTTCAGTATGTAAAGCCACAAACTTTTTGAAAACATCTTATATACAGTACTGGCAGGGATGTAGTAAAAATGGTGCCCTTTAATATTGTAGCTGGCGTTTTATTTATTTATCTATTTAAAACTTATCTTTATTGTTGAATATATTACAGATGTTCCTCCTTTTCCCCCTATTGACCCCCTCCTGCCTTTCCCCACACTGTTGTTTGTGTCCATTGGTTATGCATATATGCATATAAGTTCTTTGGTTTATTTTAAATGATTCAATGCCTTTGAAAAAATATTGTGGCAACATGTGTTATTTACCCTAAACATGAACAAAGTTTCTGCTCAAGTAATTCACTGTCCAGGAAATAGTCCAAAGATGTTTTTCACAGAGTCAGTGACAACAGTAAAAAATTGTTAACCTAAATGTTCAATGGAGAAAGAGAGCTAAGAAAATTATCATTCAACTACTCAGTAGATAACTATGAAGACATTTATTAATATGACATGAGAATGTATTTATGACAAAAATTTTGGCAGGATATAAACTATTGTATATGTTGTGGACACAACCTGTGTAGAGTTCAGATGCAAAGGTAAAACAATGGAAAGAAAACAGTAGGTCTTCATTGTTTTAAATATATTTTAAGTTATAACCACGTATAATGTAAAAGCATACATATTTTGTAATATATTTTTTAATGATGGCGAAGAAATTTTTTCTGAAATTTCAAGATTTAAACTTTATATACGTGGAGGAATAAAATCAAATACATAGTCAGATAGTTTTCTAGGTCTCTCTTCTTAAAAATAGGATCCCTCAAAATTCAACCTGAAATGGTCATGATTTTATTGGTAGTCTTCATTAAACACCTATTTTTGCTTTGCATTTATTCTAGCAAACTAAAAGCAGAGCAGCAATGTGAGCCCAAATGAACTTACTTGAAGAGATCAAGTAGCCCCTCAATCAAGGTAGCTTGTGTTTAAGAGTGTGCGCGATGCAAATATCTCCTTGTGTCCTCATCGTGGACGTGCCAGGAAGAAGGAGATGGCTGCGGCTGGCCATGCCAAAAGGTCAAACTAAAGCTAATGCCTGCATTAGGTGGGCGGAGAAGTTTAGAGGTCATCTTCCTCTGCTCACCTCTCGTTTTATCAACCATCCCCCAAATTCCTTATTTCTTAATGTGGAGTCAAGATGCTGTTTGCACAGCATTTCACCTCCTACTACAAGTCAAGAATACAGGCTCTATTGCAGAGTAGAGATAAGGGCTGTAGCATCACAAAACTTATGTTCAAATTCTAGCTGCTCCGAATGTTTCATGATAACTTAAGTTTTCTTCAAGCATCTTACTTATTGCCTTAATAATAAATTGGGGCAGCAATTTACCTCTTTAAACAGGGAGGAGCCAATGACCTCATTAACCCTCTATTAGTATTTAGATAACTTTTAGTGATAGTCAAGTATGAGAAAAAATAGTTTAACAATGAATGGAAACAGGAAATTCACCTAACAAGTAGAGATTTATTTTTCTAAGTTGCTTGAGGATGTTACATAGACCAGACAAGTATATATGGCAGAACTGACTTGTTTGTTGTTGTTTGACTGCCTCAAGCAAAGTACTACTCTACAACTAAAACTGGGTGGGTGTGTTTGTGTACACCCTTCGAAGTTCAGCCAGGAAACCTTAGGTGCTGCTTGTGAGTTCATTGGCTTGATTGATCACATATTGGGAGTAAGTGAAATCCATCCATGTTAATTTTAATTATTGATTCAGTCAGGTTGCGAGTATGTAACTACTTTGAACTAAATACAGGGCATAAAATTGCGCTCATATATGTAACCAGTTTATGTTCTTGAGAAATTAATCTTATAAATTGAAAGTTCAGAAGAATTGTAAAACTGGCTTAGTTGTGAAACCAGGGTTTCAGAAATCATAGAGGAAATGCTACTCCAATGATTGAAAAAGAGATCAAATAAGTACAGTAATGATACAGAAAGTTAGCTACAAGAATAAAGATACATAAAGAAATGGTAGAAAGAGGGGAAAAATGAAGGACGAATAAGCCAAGATAAATTCCAAGATGTTAAAAAACTATCAGTGTTTTACAGGAATAGGCACATCCTTTCAGAAACCTGTACTCACTCAAGGAATAAAATACATGTTACTTTTACAAGTCTAATTCTGGAAAATGAGATTCTTGATTTTGTTAGTTATCATGAATAATTGTAAAGATCTTCAGTAACTGTATTATATTACATGAAGTGGAGGAAGCTTACAGATCGATAAGGCAGATGACCTCAGGCACCCCTTCCTGGGGAAGCTTATTCTTAGAGGGGTTTAGTGATTTACTCAAGAGTCCAACTGGCACAGGTGACTTCAGACTTTGTGTTCTTAACTACTATCCTGAGAGTCTGGCATTCAAAAATGTGTTCTTTCATTGAATCATCTATAAACTTCAAAAAAGATTCTATCGTGTCCCTGATTATGTTTGGTCTAGGCCTTTAAGAGTCTTTTCCTGGTAAACAAAACTCATAATTTGCCGAAACACATTAAAAAAGTCTATTCACAAACATCGTGATTCCTGCAAGATAAATAGCCTTTATTTTATGATATCAGGTCCTCTAACCCTTGGGGTCCATTTTCCTGCCTCTGGTTAAAACCCCAAACTGGGGGACTTGGCTTCCAGGCTCTGCACAGAGGAAAGGACAGAAGGCAAGGATAATCAGAATAAAGCCACCTGCATGGTCAGCAGACCCTTACGTTTTACTGGTCTCCATGGCTGTCACCTTTCCAGTCCTGAGCCACAGACTCAAAAGGGAATTACCAAGGTAATTCCATGATCCAAAATTTGTTTTCTTTGGCAGATCCCTACTCCCCTAGCTAGAAGTAAGCACAGTAAGGCTATGATCGGGACCCTCTCCTTAATTCTTGAAAATACTGCAGAATCTGCCCAACAAAAATCCCGAGACACTCTGGCAAGAGTTGTTCTTGATCATGGGATAGCTCTTGTTTATCTTTTAGCTGAAAGAAAGCGGTGTCTTTGCTGTGGCCAACTCCATAAAGTCACAGAATAAGCCCATTGGCTTATGAAAGTGACTCTATCATTGGAGTTTTTCTCTGATGTCTTTGATTCTAATTAGTTTTGGTCTTGGGGACCATGGCTTCAAAGTTCACTCCATGTACTGGGAACAGTTCTGCTTATAATAACCCTCGCAGTCTCCCTGGTGCACTGTACTTTCTCGAAGCCTTCAAACGCCTGCTTGCAGCTGCTAACCATCAAGTGATGATCTCACTAAGGACAGAACATAAGGTGCAAAGAGAATGACCAGCTTAGGGAATATAAACCTGAAGTTTGAGAGCTGTGAATAAATACCACACAAATTTGGCAAAAACTATAAGAACTCCAAAACGGTAACTAGGAGTAGTGTTAATGTCTTACATCTTTGATCAGGTCTCTCATTTAGGCTGAAAGTCTGATCAAAAGGGGGAAATTATCAAACAAAACCAACAACAAGGTACCATGTTCAAAATGCTTATGCTAAGCCCAGGTCACCAAACAGAGATTTAATTAGTTTAAGCCCTCCCAGATATTAAACCAGTCAATCAGGAATCACCTGATGGGCACTAGTAAGGTAATTTACCTAATAGATCCCTGCATTCCCTAAAGGAAAGTAACCTTTTAATAACCAAAATGCTTTTTAATCTAAGTACAGCTTCCTTGCTTCCACTCCCTTCTGCTTATAAAAGTCTCTCATTTTGTATAGCTACTTAGAGATCCAATTTGGATGCTGCCCAGTTCGAGTTTTGCTTAAACAAACTCTTAAAAAATTTAATATGCCCTAGTTTATTTTTTAACAAATACGGATTAATACTTTGTATAACAAAATTATTTTTGTTCAATTGCATGACTTTTATTTTATTATATATTTAATGTAACTCACAGTGGAGATAAAAATTGTTTCTCCAAACCAACTTCTTATCCAAAACCTACAAATCATCCATGGTCCTTGTTAAAAATACGCCACATAAACAAAATGAGAGATAAAAATCATAACAATAGATGCTGGAAAAGCATTTGACAAAATCCAGCCCCCATTTATGATAAAAATGCTCAGCAACCTGGGAATAGAGGGATCATATCTCAACATAATAAAGGTCATATATGAAAAACCTATAGCCAACATCATACTCAATGGGCAAAAACTAAAAGCACTTCCCTTTAAGAACAGGAACAAAAAAAGGATGCCCATTTTTGCCACTCTTATTGAAGACAGTACTGGAAGTCTTAGCCACAGTGATTAGACAAGAAGTAAAAGGGATCCAAACTGGAAAGGAGAAAGTGAAACTGTCATTATTCACAGATGACATGATACTGTACATAGAAAACCCTAAAGACTCCATCAAAAATCTAGATTTAATAAGTGAATTTGACCAAGTAGCAGGATATAAAATTAACATCCAAAAATTGATGGCATTCTTATACACCAATAATGAACACTCAGAAAAGGAAACAAACAAAAATCCCGTTTACCGCTGCAACAAAAACTATAAGATACCTAGGAATAAACTTAACTAAGGAAGTAAAAGACCTGTTCTCAGAAACTATAGAACATTGAAAAAATAGAGATATAAAAAGGTGGAAACATACACCATGTTCATGGATCGGAAGAATCTACATCATTAAAATGTCCATACTACCAAAGCAATCTACAGAGTCAATGCAATCCTTACTAAAGTACTAATGCCATATTTCACAGATCTAGAACAAATACTCTGAAAGTTTATATTGCAACCATAAAGGCCCCAAATAACCACAGCAATATTGAAAAAGAAGAACAAAATGAGACATATCACAATACCAAATATCAGGTTATACTACAAAGCCACTTCAATCAAAACAGCATGGCACTGTCACAAGAAATGACATATAGATCAATGGAACAGAACAGAAAACCCAGAACTTGACCCA